ACCCTCCTCCTCATCCAACCGTGACATAGTAATTAGCCCTATATGGTGCACGCAAGCGAACACGTTTCCAACGCAGTGCCAGTGAGCCAACTTATCGAGGCGCCATCAACCAACAGGATTCATGAGCTGGTGGCAGTTACCGACTCAGCTGTGGACTCTCAAACACTACTTAGCGTACCCATTAGTACAAGCATTTGCGATGGAATGTGGGAGCCACTCCTGTCTATATGCATGCGGTGGCATTGTATCCGTATCGTATACCGAATGTCACTCAGGTGCTGCAATTCCGAACGATGACGTCGAGTGTGAATCCGAGACGTCAGGTGAATAAAATTCTCACTCTAAAGTCCTAGATTTATTATTACATGCAGAAGAACTGTGTGGCAATTACATTGACCCCAAAGTGTGATTCGCAGCGGGGATACCTTGACTTCTGGCAAAATATTGCAGCGACTCTTGCTGTACTATTAACTGCGGAGTATTGCCTTGCAAAGTGCAGACTGCTGCGCTAATTTGAAAAAAAACCTTACATGACAGGCATGTAACTCGAGCAGATCACACTGGAGGACTAGAGTTACGTTCAATGTTCGCTTTCGCCTTATCTACTAGTGATTGCTGCAGTCGTATGAAGTGGGATCCCACCCAGTTTCGCCTCTAGATCCTTGCAGCGCTCGCAGCTGAAAGACCTGAGTGGATTGATACTGAGGGCATTGTCAACGCTTTTGTTCTGAAACAGTATTACGAGACGGAAGCCGACCGAAAACGAAACAGTTGTGCCGTCGCGGGGACACTCCGGAAAACCGCCTAACAGCAGACTGTCGTGCACACAAACACTCAAGTCCACCACGACTTTTTGGTGGCCGACCTCAAAATTGAAACAGGAGTAGTCTAATCGGTCTGGTGAGGGCGGCAGCAGCCACCACAGTATCACATTGCTGTGACTGTGGCGGGACGCAGTAGATAATATCTCTGACTTGCTACAGGCGTGAGGGTGGACTGTCCACACAAATTGCAGTCGCTTACCTCAGACTGGGACAGGAAGACAGCGTCTAGAGGAGCCCCTTTTTCAGCGAAGACCAAGGGTACTGAAGTACTGAATAAACTTGACTTGATGTTGCTGGGAGTGCGGTGTGTGATGATCGTAGAGCCGAGGACGCATCTAACGGTGCTTAACACCCAGACATGTGACTCAGCCGGACACATGTGTGGTAGATCGCGTGCCTGGGTGTCTTGAGTCAAGTGCTGTACAAAGAACTCTACCGCCCTCGATCGATGCTGACGCAAGGACCACACCACACAGCCTATAATAAGGTTAAAAGGGGTCGTACAGTCCGTTGTAGAGCTAAATTGATGAAGATATTTTGCACACGACCGACTGGGTGGGGGGGGGATGGACAACCGCGGACGTCTGAAATTTAATAAAGTGGAGACAAACAGGCTTCCGACATGACCATCCCTGGCGAATTCGTGGAAATTATTTAGCTAGTGATATTTGCAAAGGATGGCGAGTGAGAATGAGGAAAGGTGCTCACCACTTCATCTGCGTCTGGTACAGTTTTGACTCACGATCAGTATTCCGGCAATACAATTTACAGCATCTACCGACAGGCAGTCCGTTTTTCCATGTTTGTCGACCCCCCTCCCCCACCGCTCTGATCTACTGGCTGTGAATTCGCCTCCCTCAACCTGCCGTGGTCCCCATTGGTTTTCCTGCCCTAAATCGACCGCTTCATCC